TGATATGTGATCTGCAGGTTGAGCTTGTCAAGCCATGCCTGCTTGAGGTACTGATCACGCTGACGCTGAGTCTGTCTTGCAGCCTCTTGACGATAGGACCGAGACTTGTTATCAATCATCGTGACAAGGGCTTGGTGGAGGTAAAGGAGGTCTCCCGTGCCTGTCACAAGGTGAGACTTTACGTCTGCATGGGCGGTCTCGGTAGGGCTATTGACCCTTTGACCGAAGTTCCGATAGCGGTCAATGTAGCATTTCACCCACTGCTTGCGCCACGGTACATATTCTTTCTGGACATATCGCAGGATGTGCCGTTGCTGCCTGCCGAAGGTTTCGGCAAAAGACTTCCACGAGTCTTTGAAGGCATCGTGATCAGCGGTATAGACTACGGCTTGGAAGACTTTGAATATCCCCTTACGGTTGTAGTCATCAGAAGGGTTCGCAAGCTCGTCCTCTGCCTCGTCTTGTACACGGCCCCGGGCGACAACATCAAGGTCTAGCTCTGGCTCGAGCTGCTCGGCAGTTTTGTCGCTTGGATCAACAGAAAGAGCGTTTCCGTCATTATCAGACTCAACAGTAATGTCGTCGTGATCCTCGCCCTCAGTGTCCTTCCAGCGGGCGTTAATTTTAGCCCGGACGTTGGCCAAGATGTGATATACGCATAGCTGCCGTTGGGCACTTGGAAAGGTGTTCGTGAGGGCTGTGCGGAGAGCCTGTTCCTTGTCTGTGATGATCACCTCCGGCGTGTCTGCCCCAATGTCGATGCGAAGCTCGTCAAGCCGGTCACATAACCACTGGAAGTGGTGCTCCTTTTCGCCGTTTATAAGGCCGAAGGCGAAGTTGGCCAGAGACTTCTGATCTGTCACACCGGTGGCCTGAAATAGATGTAACCCAAAGCGGTTGGTCTTGTACGTGTTGTCCAAACCGAGCACCTCCGGAAACTTCTTCCACATTGTGCGGCACCAGTCGTAAGTCCAAAAGACGGCACAGACGCGGTCATCTTCGTCGCGCAAGGTTCTGACTCTAATACCTCCGCTCTCAAGCTCCTTGACGAAGGCTTGGGTACCGGCCGCCAAGGTGTTCGTGACGGCTGCGCGGAGAGCCTGTTCCTTGTCTCTGATGATCACCTCCGGCGAGCTCAGGAGCTCTCCTT